CGACCGCGCATCGTTGGGGAGAACGCCGTTGATTTCGGCATGTTCAACTGGGAATTTCCCATCTTCCACAAGCTAGCAGGGGGTGATTGCTTATGCTGATCTTTTGGGCAGCAAGAAGGGATGTCGTTCATCCAATCTTTTTTCACGACAACTCCTTCACCCGGAATCCAGCTTGGTCAACGCCGTTGGAGGTTCTCAACCGCCCAAAGTGGAGGAGCTGAGCAGCGTGGGGAAGCTCGGTGCAGCAGACACCAACTGGTCTAACTCCAGCATCAGTGCAGCATCATGTTTTCCTCCAACGCATCAAAGGGTTAAGTTTTAAAGTCTTTTCGGACTGCAGGATTGCTGCTGCTAGGATAGAAGCGGAACTTCTTTGCTTTTTTTCCTGACAACGGTCAGGGCTGTTGGCAAAAGGGTTCTAATGTGTTCACTTTGGGCTGCGCATACCTCCCATGAAAGCCTCCATGCATTGTCTGGAGGTTGGGTGGAGAATCTTCAAAGCCACTCGGTGGCGGGTGTCAGAGAGAGGGACACCCAAAGACACTCCATTCCTCATGCAACATGCTGTCACAAAAACCACAACATCTCTCTTCCGAATACCCACCTTGGAATCAGCTCTTACAAACGGAGATTCCCTTTCCTTCGAAACAGGCCCCTCCGGGCGGCTCCCACGCCTATTTTCTGGATGCCCGGAATCTCAGCCCGTGCCGGTGCCAGGGGCAAGGCCCTCACACATATATGAGTGTTTCTCATTGCTGTGCAGGCAGCTTCCAGAGGTGCATGGGCGAAATTCACCTTTTGACGATGAAAAACAAGGTACTCATCTTGGGTGGTGATTCACCTTTTACCCTTCTGGTCCAGAAGGGTCGCCATGTTCGCGTTCCGGAGTTCCACAGCGACAGGCGACTGTGCCTTTCCTTGGTCCCCTTGAGGCGTACAATCGCAGGCGGCAGGAGCGCTTGCGAGAGCAGCGGCAGAAGGAGGATGAGCCGCAAACGCCCCAGATGAGAGCGACCGCGGAGATTGCTAACACAAGAACTACCCCCCCCTCTGAGAATCAGGCACTCATGCCAGGGGATGGCCCCAATGAGATGCCGATGTTCCTTTTACGTTTCTGGGACATTGATGTGTTTGACATTCACTTGGATGCACACCAACTTCTGCAAACTCCGCAGCTGCTCTCTTCTTGGGCCCTCATCTTTCCACTGCCCGCCCGCCTCAGGCCACCCGCCCGGGCGGCGCCTGCGCCGCCTCCGCCTCCAAGTCGAAGGGAGGAGCCGCCGTGCCTTGGCCGAGAGACGATGAGAGACGTGGAGCCGCGGGTGTTTCTGTGGGTTGTCCCTTGCAGGGAAAGAGCTCAGTTGTCCCTTGAGGTGATGTAGCGACCTGGCCTACAAAGGTCGACACCTTGACGCAGCGTTGATGCAACACAGCCTAACACAGCCTCGTCCGCACAGCAGTGTTGACAAACCTCACACCACATGTTGCGGCAACCCCGGCCACTCGCAACCCCGGCCACGGGACATACGACGGAGCGTGCGGACATACGACCGCATTTGCGTGGCACAGGGCTTGGCACCAAATCGCAGCTGGCAAACACAGCCCTGGACAGTGTTTAGGTACTGCGGTCTTCATATCCCTGGTGACTCTGGGACGAAATCGTGTTTCCCGGTCTCAAGTGGGAATTACGAACGCCTCTGACACAGTATCCAGGTGACTTTGATGTGGGTATGACACCCGATCGCCCCCCCTGGCTGGGTAGACCGGATCCATTTTCCGAACCTTCCAGGGGATCTATGGTGGTCTCCCCTTTTTAAAAACACCCTATAGTAGAGATTCTGGGGATAGCTCGCCATGAAAGAGAACTGGAAGGGCGGGGTATGTGACTTGACTGCTGTGGACCCGAGCAGACAAGATGTCATTGTGTGGATGGAGATCGTCCCTTTCAGTGGGTGGAGATCAAACCCAAGGAACATGCCGTCTCGTCACACGAGCAAAAAGGAACATGACCGAAACGCATGGTTTCTACGAAATCTGGCCATCCCTGCGAAATCTTTGGTTTGCTTGCAGGCGGCAGCCTGACAGACGCGATCGGGAGCCTGACAGACGCGATCGGGAGCCTGACAGACGCGATCGGGAGCCTGACAGACGCGATCGGGAGCCTGACAGACGCGATCGGGAGCCTGACAGACGTGATCGGGAGCCTGACAGACGTGATCGGTCTGACAGAAAAGAGGCCGGGATGCTGATGTTCTTGCATGTATTGTCCATTGAATGTTAGTTGACATTGGGCTGTGATACAGCAGAAACATTGGTGCAGTTGATTGGTGGCTAGAAGGGTTACACACCACCACCACCGCCGCCACCACCATCGTGCCTGTTTCAAATGTTGCATGTAGGTTTCCCTTGCCATCCCAGTATAAGTATAGTATAATATCATGATTTGTTTTGTTTTGTTTGATCCTACTCTTCCTTGACCAGCTGGACAGGAAGTGCCCTCCCAGCGGATGGTGAGGCAACTTCAGGATCGTTTCCACGTGGCAACGCGCCGAGCTTCGGTCAGGTCGAGGCTGTTTCGACGTTCCAATTGGGATTCTTGAGTTCGGAGAAGGCCATGAAGACGAAACGGAACGTTACACTGTTTAAGTACGTTCCTTTTACATGAGATAGAGTAACATCGAGACGTTTCCTGTTCAATTCTGGTGAGCATGAAGACGCTCGCAGCGGCACGCCCCACCCTTGTTTTTCCCTGCTAGCACGGCATTGATGCAGCACGGCATTGATGCAGCACGATGGTCGGTCGAAGCTCGTACCGGAGGAGTTGGTCTATGGGTCCCGTTTGACCCGCTGCAAGAAGAAAATAGACCAGAACCCATTGGTTGGGAGGTCCCCCTATAAAAAGATATATAAATGGGGTTTGTCCGTTCTTACCTGTAATAGTCAGTAAACAATTATACAATTATTGCTATTTTTGAACAAGGCCTTTCCCAACCATCATCATCCACTGTTACAGATATTAGGACAGACCCAAGATATAAACATATTAAAATACACACACACACCCATATTATACACTCCGATGAACACATCACATGGAAGTGGACTCCGCCACCCGTTTGTAGAGGAAAGGACAGTCGTCCTTTTGGGAGCATTTTCTACTTCTATGTTACTGTATATAAAGTGAGTGAAAGTGTATCCTGAAGAACATCGACATGCAAACACAGACATTTTTTTTAAAAACTTTCCAAAACCCTTGAGTTGCTGACTGGTGGAGGATCTCCTCTTCCAGGAGTGCGGACTCTTAGGACGTCCTTTTTGCTCAGCTGTTTTGAAGCCACACCCGAGCTGTGGAGAGGACATGAAAGAGGTGATGGAGCGGCAAGCGGAGGAGGAGCTGGGATCCTTAGCTTTTTGAGGCCCATTTTGCAACAAGACCACCTGAAGTGGCGGAGGCCGCGTAGGAAGGACATTTGGATCAAAACTGATGTTCTACCCTTCCATCTCATGTTCACATTGCAATACTCCAATTTGCAGATCAAAACTGACTCCAAGAGGACCAGGAACCAGAACAACCTCTCCCGAACCCCTCACGAACCCCTCACGCTCCCGAGGCGGCGGCAGGTGGAAGAGCTGAAGAGGCGAGCCGATGAGAGCCTCTTGGACGCCCCACATGCGGAACGCGTGCCGACGGGACATGCGGAACGCGCGACACGCGGGAAGCGTTGAAGAGGGTGAAGAGGTGGTGAACATGATGAAACCACATACAATCCCAGCTACATCAAGCATGATGAAACCACAAGACAGGGCACAATCCCAGCCTTTCGGGTTGGCCTTTTTGGTGGTCGATACGCAGTCGTCAATGTGTTGGATTCAGATGATCAAAGCGCAGAAGAGGGTGGCAGCTACTGTTCCTGTGGCTACCGGATGCTACTGGTAGCTTCCTATATGCACCCGCCATGCATCCATTTCTTGTGCATTTGTGGGCACCCTGTTGATCCAAGTCACTGACTCCACCTGAGCAGACCACATGCAAGTGGATGAGGGTTTTCAGACACTTTTTGTCCTGCCTGCTCACAAAGAAGAAACCCAGGAAAGAGAATGGAAGAAGAGTTTCAGCGCAAGATGAAGGACATCTTGGATAAGCCCAGACCCGAGCTGTGCCGACCTCAGCCACCCTCGGAACCCTCGGCCCAAGGGGTCGATGAATGCAGAACTGAGCACGAACAGGCCGATGCATCGCCACCAAGTCCAACATCACTCCAAGTGTGTACCGGAAGTCGGAACCTCCGGATCTGTGGGTCTGTGGGTGGTTGGTTGGATGTTGGACGTGGTCATTTTTGGGACTTCGGGTCCTTTTCACAAGAAGGACGATGAAGTGGTGGTTTTTCGAGAGTCGGTTTAGTGAAAAAAAAGCGCACCCATGTTGGTGTGAGGTTTTGGAGTCACCGCAATCAACTCATTGAAGTCAAATGAAGTTAATATGAAGAACCTTCCCCCAAGCTGAGTCGGGCTTTACTCTCTATAGTATATATTATAAATTGCATTATTGTGCCCCTTCGACGTTGCCCCTTCGACGTTGCGTGCCCCGTCTGCGCAGAACCTTTGGCTCCGATTTTGACCCCTCGTGGCCAATTCGACACCGGTGGCGACACCATGCCGACCGCGTCGCGCCGACCTGTCGGCGCCATCTCCCTGGCGGCCGCTGGTGCTGCCGGCATGGTCCTGGTGCCGGACCGTGGCTTCGTGGCCACGCGCGGGGCGGGCCCAACGCACGGGACCAGCGCAGCAGTGCAGGAGGCCCGGAGACCAGCGGCATCTGCACCACTTGGAGGAGAGCGGTTGATGCATTGAGTGATGTAATCATCATGTCACATTTCTTTTTCGAAGTGCATTCAAATCAGCAAATGTTTACCAAATGTGGTGAGTTTGGTGCATCCAAATCCCTCTGAATGCTGAAACGGTTTTCACCTCCAGGAGTTCCCTTGGTCAGCTGCGCCTTGATGACCGGTGCCGTCGTCGCCTCCTCCCTCCGCGGTCGCCGCGCAGAGCGGTCGTCGCGCGGAGCGGCGACGGCGCGCGCGGCCGGGCCGGTGCTGACGCTGGGGACCCGTGGCTCACCCTTGGCGCTGGCGCAGGCCTACGAAGCCAAGAGACGCCTAGGGGAGGTGCGGGAGGGAGAGGATGGGGAGAGGATGGGGAGAGGATGGGGAGAGGATGGGTTGGGGGCTGAAGGCGCGAGGAGCTCCACCAAAAGTGAGTCAAGGAGAAGAGTGAAGCAAAGTAAAGGTGTCGGCTAGAGTGGCCATTGTTGGAGGGTCCAAGTGTTGGCATCAGCAGGTTTTGCGCTGTGGGCAAGACCTGGACTGAAGAACAAGCTTCAATCCAGTTGAAAGGATTATGATTAAACTTGATTTACATTCCAACAATCATAGCATAGGAGTACGCAGCCACTGGAGCATCTCTGGAGCATTCTTAGAGCATCACGTCTTCTGTGTTTTTATTACAAGGTTTTTCTGTCCTCGACGTTTCGTTCTCCAGGCTTTCCCCGAGCTGGCTGACGACGAGGCGGGGTCTTGGAAAAGCGGCCAGGGGTTTCCCGGCTGGCTGGGTGTGTCTTGGAATGGGGAGATCCATTAGTTCGATGTGAATTGAAAATGGAACATGGACGGACCCAACTTCAGGTACCCTAGAAACTAGGACATGACCCTAACAAAACAGCTACGTAGCCGTTTTCTGAGGCTCCAGGTAGTTGGAGTGGTTTTCCTTTGGAGGAAGGTGCAATCCCTGCATTTACTCAATGTGATCCAAGGTTGGTGTTCCCAAGTCTTCAAGGTGTGAGGATGTGATTGAATTTTAAGAAAGATCCACTAGGTCACTGGAATGGGATCCTAGGGCAGGGGCAGGGGCGATGTGCCGGCCAAAAAGTGGCCAAACCCAGACATTCCGTGGCTTTTCACACTTCCGAAGTCCTTCAGTGGAAAACCTTCCAACTTGGCCCATCCTCTTCCTCCCCTCCACCGGTGAAATGGTCCTTTTCACCCCAAAACCGACCTGTGCGGTGGACCGGTCGATAGGCGGTGGAGATTCGCATCATCTCCACCACGGGCGATCAGCGCTTGGAGATCTCCCTGGCCGAGATCGGTGGCAAGGCGAAGCGTAGATCGCGCCGTGCGTCTCGCGCCGCGGAGATTGCGCGCGCTGCGACGCGCGAGATCTCCGCAGTGCGCGAAGTTCGTGTTTTTTTTTCGAAACTGGACACGAGGTTTGAGTGGAGCTGTTTGGTGGATTTTTCCGAAGGTGTTTCCGAACTCCCTCCCTGAGGATTTGGGGTGATGAGGGTGGTGTGAGGGAGGGGTTGGGAACTGGTGGGTGGGTGGGTAGGTGGGTGGGTGGGTGGGTGGGTGCGGGATACGCGGGTTCAGCATAGTTCAGCTGATATTTGCAAGTTGATACTTGCAGGTTCCATAATGTGTGATGTGTTTGGTGCAGGTGTTTTGCAGTGCGCGAGCTTTCTGCACTGTAGCCAGTTTTTTGGAGTGACTTTGTAGTACCTCCAGGCTTTGGACCTGTGCTGGTAGATGGCTCAAGTGGGACTTGGAGTGGCTGATGGCTCGTAGTCGAGCTTGGGGCGGTCTATATGCTTGGCCAATCCGGCCATGTCCCGGGCGTCCCGAGGCCGAAACCCAGGTTCTGTGCAACGTGTCGCCCGCCCGAAACGCGACCAACTCCCCACCGCGTTCGCGGTGTGGAGTCTCGTGGCTTCGAGCAACGCCGTCAGGGGCTCTTCACTCGAGAGCTGGATGTGGCACTGGCAAGTAAGGAGGCGGGAGACCCAGCGCTTGAAGGTTGGACATGTTTGGACAAACCCTGTGGGGCTTTGGAAGAGGAGGTGGATCTAAACCTTTAGGTAGTTCTCGAACAAAATCGAAACAACAGGATCATGTTGACACTTGATGAGTAAAGCCCACCATACCAGGAGTCACACGGGGATGCCGATTGGAGGATAGGGGTGTCCATTATCCACTCACTTAGGGACAAAAAACCACCCTTTGTAACTCCTGGTATGGAGATGCCATTCTGGTCGAAGGTTATTCATCAACAGTCAGCATTGAGACGGCACCAGGCTTCACCCCTGCATCTGCACCTGCACCTGCACCATACCCCCTCCAGATGCCCCTTGGATACCTACAGAAACGCACCCCACCCCTCTCCTTGCTGAAACAGCGGCCATCTCTGGGGGCGTGCTGGCTGATTTGCTGATTGGTAGCGGGAGGCCGTCCCTGACTACCTGGTAGTCCCTGGAAGGATCGCCAGGGAGTGGCTTGAGGCAGTCCCCGCACCATTGCGGTGCTGCCTGCCTCTCTAGGTCCTCATTCGGAATGATCATCGATAATCACTCTGTATTTAGATGTATTGTGCCATGAAACAACATTGACAAAGCAAAAGAAGACTGCTTTTCATGTCCTGATTTGACGGTGATTTCTATGCCTCCAATCCGTTTCTGATTGCCACGTGATGAACTGGCCAGTTCTGGCCAGTTCAGCCCGTGAGAGGTATGGTTGCCTGGTTGCCTTGTTACTCACATGATGGATAAGCTATGGGTTTTAGATTTCAGATCCGCTTATGTAAGACCTGGGTTGATTTCAGGTCTGCGATGGACCAGAATGACCAGACCTGGGTCATCGCTGTCGATCAGACATGGGTCAGTCCTCTCGGGTCTGTCCTATGACCTGCAACAGTCGGTAAACAAGACCATCAGTATCTTTGGGATGGAAAGGCCTGCAACTGAACCATCATCATCCACTGGGCCCTGGTAGTCAGATAGACCCAAGTTAACTCCTTTCCATTTGCATCAACGGTGGATCACTTTTGGACTTGTTTTTCGATGAGAGTTCCACCGGCCAAGGTGGACTTTTGCGTCCACTCCACCAAGGAGTTCAAGCGCGTCTTTTTGTTGTGCGAGCGAGACACCGTGCGATATGGTGGAATCCGGTGGAGAAATCCAGCAGAATCGTTCGACCATGCATGACCTGGCGCAAGATGGTCATGCAAGTTTGAAGCACAGTGGAGACGCAATAGATCAACCCATTCTCCGCAAAGCAGCTATGTGGCAGTTACGTAGATTCCGAATCCTCCAAGAAAACAACTTTGGGACGTCCAGTCCGATTTCTTTTCTTTTTGGATATTCTTCTTTTCCTTTCCACCTGAAGGGGTCTCTGCTTCCGCTTGGCACGGCGACAGGACGTGCCCACCGAGCTGATTCCGGACACCGAGCTGTGCACGATGCTCCCCCGCGAGGCGCGGGCGACCCGTGGGCGACCCGCAGAACTGGGGCGCGAACGCGCCAACGCTGGGCCACAGGAAGTTCTGCGGGTTGTTTTGTGGGTGACTGGTGATGTGCGTGTTTCTGGTGACTGGTGGCTGCGGAGGATGGGAGTTTGGGAGGATGAGACGACGGATGTTCTTCTTTTTTGGGGCGGTTCGGTTGAAACCATGCACAAGCCATGTATCACAAACGTAGAGATTCGCCGCAACAAACTTTCCAACATGTCCACAGTTTCCAAATGTTCCGAGCTTCCCATGTGGAGAACTGCCACAATCTTGCCTTATAAATAGTGACCCTGAACTAGAATCGATGAGGGAGAACCCCCTCAGATTGAATCCTTTCTGTTCTTGGAAGACGAAAGGGGGGGGGCCTTCACACACCAGTCCAACGCATTCCGCCCCGCTCGAATCGGAGAAGAACCGCCTCCCGGTGCGGTGCATCTTCCGAGTTCGCTGGCAGGACACCCGGGACGTGCTCATCAGTGGAGATCCCGAGAAGATCAAGTGCATCGAGGACTTCCCGGAGATTTGGAAGAACTGTCTTGGCTTGGTTTTGTTTTTTTTGGCCGACGGAGTCACGTTCGACGGGGTGCCGAACGAACGAAGGAAGGAGGTTACGGTGCCCCGACCGTCACATCCACTCACCCACGAGCCCCTGGATGGGACGAAGCAAACCACCCAGGCCCTCCATGTGACTCCGGGGCTTTTCCGGAAAGCGCATTCGTGTTGGATCGCGGGCTTTTGTGAAGGCCTGGCCCCAGCCTTGAAGCGAACGAAGAACTTAAGATGGAGGATTGAAGAAAACAGGGGGAAGGCAAAGCATGTTGAGCTTATCCATGTTCGTGCTCGCGGATGATGAGTCTTGCTTTGAACAAGCTTTCAACACTTCTCGAGCTTCCACTACGCGAAGTTTTTTTGCTACTTTCAGAGAAGCAGGGAATGCAAAAAAACACTCCAAAAAAGGGGGTAAACTGGGTAAACCATGCTTCACCTGTACCCTCTTCGGTTGTTCCTGCACCCTTTGGTTCACGACCATCTTTTGTACGGCTTGGGTTGTGGCTTCATTTGGGTGCACTTTAGCGGGTTTGTCTGTGATTGAACTGAGGGTGTAAGAATGCCTCAAATGGATCGACAGGAATTGACAATTCAATCTATTTCTTAGGGTTGCAACAGCTCGCACTTGTCTCCTTGTTTTGGAACCTGTCTTTTTTCCGTCACCTGGGCACTAAGGATGGCAGCTTGATCGGGACTGCATCCCTTAGGCGGCAGGCAGCGGAGAGGGGGGCGCTGATTGAAGGTTTCAGTGGTCGCTGCTGGAGCTCTGCAAATTCACGATTCTCATTTTTGGAATATCTACATAAATTATATGGTCTGGGGATCATGGAATTCTATCGGAGGTTGAAGAACTCTATACTATAGACCATGCATAGGTACCTATTATGGTCTTATAAGGTCACTTAACCTCTCTTGGTTCTGAGCTGTTCGCTTGTGATGGGCTTTACAGCAAACGACTGGCTGCACAACGTCGCCCAGCATTCTTTGAGACGCAGCGAAATTGGTCGCCCGCTGCGAAGCTCGCCAGCTGAGAGGCGCAGATCTACAGCAAGAATCCCAACGTGAAGTGTGTGAACTTCAGAGGCAACGTGCAGACCAGGCGCTTAAACCCCGCTTACACCCCCGGTTCCAGAAACATCTCGAGGGGTCGCGGTCGGTGCGGCTTTGACATGGATATGGGTTGATGTTGCTCTCCGGCTTATCCTAAAAGGATCCCTGCTTTCTTCGCTTGGATGAGGGGCCAGCGAGCTGGGGCGAAGCGCGAACACCCCCTTCCGTCTCGCCAGGCTACGCAAGCTCCAAGGTGGAGATGTGAAAGGCACCTTCCTGGCCTATGCGGGCCTGAAGCGAATGAGCATGGAGGACGGTCCGCCGGGCCGTTGGTGTTCCGCGCGAGACCGTAAAGGCTGAACGCGAGGAACAAGAGAACTGTTTCGGAAGAGCATTGCACCGCGAACACCGCGTGTTTTGTTTTTTTGCATATTTGTTTGAGTGGTGGAAGGCAGTGAAGACTTAGGGCTGACTGGTGCACAGCCAAGGCGTTTCTTTTTTGAGATGTCCATTCAACTTCCTTTTCCCCAACACTTGGGTCTTTGGAGATCGTCCAAATGTCCAATGTCCTCGTTTCGGGAGGTTTTTTCCGTCTGAAGTTCTGGAGTTGTGGCACCCAACGTCCAGGAACATGCGACCAAAGTCCTGGAGTGGGACGAGATGCTCCCAGCCATCGCCCAAGGCGCGTGGTTGGTTTGCACGTCGCACGTCCAAAGAAGGATCAGGATCGTGTACACAAACAGAGTGTTTGATTAGATTTTCTCTTCATTTGCATGTCAAGCTAGCTTCAGACATTTGATTCTGAACACTTTTCTTTGCATAGTCATGACCCACCCAACAGTCGTGTGGAGTTGGTTGCTCGTGTTCACCATTTAGATCCTTTTTAGCTCAAGACTTGCTTCCTCCAAGTTGATCGAAATGCATCTTTCCCCCACCCCAACTTGTGAGTTTGGACATTTTTGGGAGGAGGACCGCATAAGACGCCCACCACCCCTTCAGTTGCTCGGGTCGAGATCTTCGCCTCAAGCAAGCGCCGCCCAACCGGCTCGTCCTCGTCCTCCTTTGTGCACCGTCCTCCTCGCCCTGGACAGGTGCCATTAGTTTCCAGTGCCGGTCTGATGACGAGCGGGTCTTGAACTACTTGAAGCCCTTGTCCCATGATGACACCTTCCAGGCCCCGCCCGAGATACTCGCAGGTCGATGTGCCCACCCTCTACCGACCTGGCAGCGACACAGGTGGAGGAAAAGGTGTACCATCTGGTAGCTGTTGGACACATTTTTCGACAGAAGTACAGACATCAGCCATCCGCAAGAATGAGGTCCCTTCTTCAGAATGAGGTCCGTAGGAACAGAAACCTGATTCTCTCTCCGTAGATGGCCATGGCCCCATCACCGACCATCGTGTCTTCGCTCGTGTCTTCCACCGTTTGCCCGGTGCGGCCGTGGATCGGTTCCAGTCCGTGACCTGCGAGCGCGCCTTCCTGGCGGCGCTCGATGGGAACTGCAAGACGCCGATCGCAGGCGCGACGGGTGGTGTGGGGCGATAGGAACGTGTGGCAGTGGAGGGAAAAGCCCAGAGTGAAGCGTTTTTGACAGATGGTGTCTATATTTGCACACGAAAACCGAAAAGCTTGAACATCCTTTTCTTGGGGGGTGGGGGGCTACAGGCGGGATCCCAAAGAGCTTTGTTTCAGCACTTGAAACCACCAGTGTCTTCTTCATCTTGCTCGTGCATGGCATCCTTTTGTTTCAATCCGCAGGACACATGCACCACACCTGCAGATCCCCCGGATCTGCCGTTGTTCTCGCCGCCCGGCCGCCTCGCCTCGCCTCCCGTCTCATCGCCAGCCGAGCAGGGCAAGCGAAGGTCATCGATGGGGAGTTGCATTTGAAGGGCCTGGTGGCCTCCCCCGACGGGAAACAGATCTTCCGAACTGAGCGCACGGGGAAAGTGCCGCTGGGGATGCAGGGCGGATGACTGCCGGGGTTCAGGGCGGATGTATAAGGAAAAGGAATAGGAAACTGGATATATAATGTAGACTCTTGATTAGATGAAGAGTGTACATTACATCAAATTTATCAACTAAATCATACTACTAAACTGCTAGATCTATATTTATCTACTGATGGGTCATGTTTTTGGATTGGATCATATCATATCCATCTTCTATCTACTCGCTTGGATGGAGGCAGGTCTCAGCAGCCTCGTGGTGCTCCCCAGGTCAGTCTCAGGTGTAGTGGAGGTCCAAGCAGGTGAGGATACACCAAGGGCACAAGAAGGGAATCCGGAGCCCAACATTTTGCGAGGTAGTGACTGGTTTAAACGACCTGTAGCTCGTCCATGCTGTGAAATTTTTAAAAAAGAACCGGGTCCCTCGGTTTTGACAAGGTCGCCTTGTGCCTGGAAGGCCTAGACCAGGTGGAAGAGATGGAGCCTCATGTGAGCCACGACCAGCAGATTTGTTTTTGACTTTTGGCTTTCACTTAGAAAGGATGATGAGAACGCATATTTCAGATTCCATTTCAGATTCCATGATCAACCAGCCCGGACCAGCCCCTAGCAGGACTTTACCATCTAACCCGAACCTGTGGTGTTTGTTGGACTCCCAGCGCGACGTGAAGCACAGTCTCCCGAGTCTCCGAGTCCTCCCGAGTCTCCGAGTCGAGGTCCGAGGCCACGGAGATTGGTCGGGACGCGGGGAATGAGATCCGAAAAGAAGCGGGAGAGGCGTTCTTCCAAGAGATGCAGGAGACCCCGCGTGGCGCGGAACGGAACGCGGGCGGAGGTTCGAGCGGCGGGCGTTGCACCGGAGGGCGAACGGGCGGTGCTGGCGACCTCAGCAAACGCGGAGACCTCCGCACGAAGTGATTGACACCTCAGTGGGTGTGGGGGGTGTTGTGGAGGAAGAGAGGAACATCGTTGAGATATACTTTTGAGGTTTCTAAGTTTGTGTGGAGGGGGGGTGCTCTGCAAATGGATCCCAGATGAACTTGTGCAGGAGCATCTTCAGTCTTGAGCTGACAAAAGCGGTCAATTTTCAGGGAGAAGTTGCAGCTTTTCTATCACACAGCTATTCCTCAGTGATTGGACCCTTCCGTCAACATTGGCACGATAACCGATGACCAGTTCAAAAAAATTCGAAAAAGAGAAGTTTTGCGACTGGTGGGCTCCAACTGGGCATGTCTTCTGCTGCCCCGTGGGTTTAGTTGGGTTCGTCTTACGTCGTGGCGTAGCTCCCGTGCGACGTCTCCCGAGCGAAGTCTCTCACAGCTTCGGCCGCAGGACTATGTCCAAGAGGTGGCGGCCGCGAACACGTGGCTTGGGCGATGGAAGTCTCGGACGCGGTCGATCAGGTCACGAGGAGTGACGGAACCACACGAAGCAAGGAGAAGCAGACATGCTTTTTTTTGATGATATAGACTCAAAAAGATCAAACAGTTTGCTTCCACCACGAAGCTATCGTAAACGCGCGGTCGGCCCCAAGGCAGTGACCTATCAAAGAAAAACGAGGGGTTTGACGGCAGCTGATTTGCAAAACGCAGAATGAGGCAGTGGTCAGTGTCACATGGCGATGCCGAAACCCGAGGAAACCTGTTCGAGGTTGAGCGTAAGTCCTCATCTCCATTGCCACCTGGCTGGTGATGATCTAAATTCAGATGAGAGGGTGAAGAGGAGGACTTGTTTCTGTGAGGTAGCAGTGGAAGGGGGAAAAGGAGAAATGGACCGGCGCAGACGTGTGGCATGACTTAGCATCAAATCTGAGCAGCATCTATTCCATATTAAAAAACACATATTAATATATGACATGATATTCCACAAGCAGTTTCCTCCACAACGCCGGTGGTTCCAGTTGTAATTTGTTGGGCTGTCGTTCCCCTCAGCCCCCCCCGCAGAATCGGGTCTCATGAGACTGGACCCCGAGTCTCTTTATCAGCCAGATTCGAGGCTCAGAGGGAAAGCAACAGATCAAAACCCTAGGGTTTGTGAGGGCGGTCACGAGTCGCCCCCTCCGTCACCCCCGTTCGGTGGGTCAGGGTGGGTGCCTGGGGGATGTGGCCAGTAGCCCTAGAGAAGCTTCCATTGGTTTGATGTTTAGTTTAGTCAGCCATGGGATTCAGTGACATGGTGAAGTTGCTACGATAGGCTCATGCTGGGGTGGGAAAAAAGACACATCGGGGAGGCAAGTAGCGGTTAGATAGCCTGCTATCTACCTGATGCCACATGTAGTGGTCTGACGCATTAGGAATGGATTGTGGGTTCCATACGAAGACGACCCAACATCTCTGAAGACGACCCATCATCTCTCTAAGGAAAAATGGTCCTGCAGATGGCACCATTTGAAAAGGGGCCGAGACTTGTGTGGGACGCACGGCTGTTCACCAGGCTGGCATCCTTCACGAGTCAGGCCGTGCGTGTCGTCTAGACGACACGCACGCGCCATGTTTTATACCTTGGCAGGCGAAAAATCACATCGCTTGCACCCAATGGCCAGATCTGACGATCCTTTTTTGAGCGGTGAAAAGAGTCGCGTTTTCTGTGGACAAGGATGGACCAGCCGCCGAAACGCGGAAGGTGGACGGGGCCACAATAACACCTCCCCGAACCAACCAGGAGAGCTGGGAAGGAGTAGGCGAGCCTTTTTTTTAAAAATATGTTCGCACGTCGGACTCTTTTCGCACTGTGACTGTGGATTTTGCAACGAATTCTTGGGAAAGTCATGACCGAGTTTGGACGAGTTTTGCAGCGAAGTCCTGTTCTGGCTCCTGGGCCCTGCTTGTTCAGGGTGAAGCGGATGTTTGTTCTCAAGACAACTCCGGATGGAGACTTGTGATCTGTGACCCCACCAGTCTGGTGTCCAGGTGGGGTCGGTGCGAGTAGAAACCGCCACACCCACCGTGGGGGGGGACACCGCGCTCTGTCGTTGTGCCCAGGCCCGGGGACAAGGACCGCCCAGAGACTGGGGACTGACGGATGACCGGGAGGGAAAGCACAGACTGCAATGGGAGAGTATGTGAAGAATCTGATCAGGTTTGGGAAACGATGATTCTGATGACGCTGATGACGATGACGATGAAGATGAATTGCTGCTAGATTCTAGAGATTTGCAAGAGAGGACTCCCCAGTTCCCCAGCTCTGATGAAACATCACCCAAGGGACGTGTCATGGCTGTTTTTGGTCTCCCTATGTCTCAGCCAAGTTCGTGAAACTCGCAAGGTCATTGAAGATCTTCAAGATCTTAGGGCAAACAGCCCAGAAGAAACAGCTCAGAGGTTCTTCTTGGAGCCTCAGCTTTCGACCGCCTGTCCCGGTCGCTTGCTCGAACGCGCCAGGACGACCGCGACCGGCGTGCGGGCGCTCGGCGGGCGCTCGGCGCGCGCCGTGAAGCCCTTGTTCCCAAAGCCCGCGGCTTTCGTCCGGACTCGGTGTGCGTGGGGGTTGAGGTAGACCCCGGGATCCCATCCCTAAGTTCTACCTCTTTTTCCTATTGGTGTTTTCCCTCTCAGCCCCAGATCCAAGAAGGGGCCCAGTCAGCCGGTGTTGTTTTTGGTCCCAGAAAAGCAAGTACAGTGAAAGGGGCCAAGGAAACATGGTCAAGCATCCGTTCCAGAACGCGTAAAAGAATGAAACACAATGGTCAACCATCGGTTCGCTGGTTTTTCTGCTTCCAGGGTACAAGATGGAGGAAATCCCCTCTTCAAGGGAGAGCGTCCTTGCTCTTTCGATCTGAGCGCTGGCTTGCAAGCTGAAGGTGAATGCCAAAAAGACACCTCGATGGGAGGTTTTGAGAGGTTCTGAAAAGTCAGGAGCAAGACAACGAAGGTTGAAGCGGCTCTCCAGAGAGTCTCGCGCTGGAACGGAAGTGGTGATCGCGAAGTAGCTTTGATGCAGCACGTTGGCCATCACCCGAACTTGGTTCGGCTGTACTGCATCACAACGACGAACTGCTCCTGCTTGGTGCTGGAACTGTGTCCTGGTGGCAACCTGGAAGACTTCTACTGGTCACATTTTGAGGGACGCGTTGAGGGAAGCATTTATGACGAAAAGGGGGCCCAGTTCATCATGGCTGAGCTGACTCTTTGCATTGGAATATGTGCACAGCAAGACCTTACTGTATGTACACTTGCCTGTTGAAATCGCCACCAATGGGTGATTTGCATTCTCCTATCCTCAAAGTCTCGCCAGGAGAAGTTGGAGATTCTCCTGGCGAGACTTTGAGGACGGGAGAATGCAATCACCCATTGGTGGCGATTTGTCAAGTGGGAGGGCTTCCCTCTTCAGAGATGGATAGCGACTTCTTGCACCATGCGGCTGCGAACTCGCAGTGAGAAACGAGACAGTCTTGGAACATTTAACATCAGATTTCCACATGACATGCTTGGGAATTAGCGTAGGATCATTCCTCGTATGCAGGCAAGCTCTTTGCGGCTGCAGGTTTTGGACTTTAGACTCCACTGGGCTTTGAAGCTTACCCCATGGACGTTGAGAACCACTGGCTTTGTAGAGGAACACAGTCTTTCAGTCGGTGCCATTTTCAGCGTCCATGTTAAGCGACCTGGATGCCCTCCTGGGAGAGAAAAAACATCGACCCCTCCAGCCTGGCACGGTTTCCTACCCCTCCCAGCCTTGCACGTTCGGCAGCCCGCGACCACTCCGCCGCGCCCCGCGACCAGGTCGAAGGGGTGACCACGAGGCTTCCGCTTGACCGATCGCTCGACCGATCTGGTTCAACGTTTCAACGGGTCGGTCGAGAGATCGCGGGTCCCGTCGCCGGGAGAGACCGCGACAGCCGGGCGACTCTCGAACGCGCGAGACGACTGGGATCGGAGAATCCAAAGGAGCGCGGGGTTGGACACCAAGCACCCCTAAGAAAGATGGGTGTTTTTTTTTCCAACTTAAAACGACTATATATAACCCTAGGATTCCAAAGGATGCCTTTCGTAGAGTCGAGGGCTGCTGGTTAGCCTCTTGGTCGCGTCTTGCCTATGCTTTTTGCCTAGTGCGTCTTCGGAAGATGAGGGACCTCAGGCCCCCGATAAAGACTTGTCCGAACGGGCGGTCCACCGAGCGTTCCGTGCGGGGGCGAGGATCGCTCGCGGGACCGCGGCGAGCGGGCTCGGGAGCGGCGCAACGACCGGACGGCCCGGTGCCCTGGTGCTGGGAGCGGTTCGGTGCTGAGAGGAAGCTCGAAAGATCCCAGTTTTCAGATGTGATGAGTTTAGCTTATACCAGCTGCTTCCGTTCGGGTTCGCCTGGCTGGATATCTCCACACTATTTTACAGATCTCCAGACAGCGCACCCCGACAGGAAACTCTAGGTAGGATGTTAATAGGTCTGGGTGGCTCAAAGCCTATTGATTACTCCATGTATACATCTAAGATGATCTAAGGGATGCTGCACGTGTCTCCTTCTAGGGCCGATTCATAGCACTGGTGCTCCGATGGCGTCGTCATCCTTCTCACACTCTTGACATACCATGCTGTCACAACTCTACCAGACCCTGGCATTCTTGAGTTCCTTTTTCACCACGCCATGCAGTGCCCCGCAAAATATCGTTCATGTCTCGGCCCATGCGCTTTTTCCACCATTCCTTTGACCTCAAATTCACCATTCCTCTGCCGCATTCCTTCCAAGCCCTTCCGACGGGTTTGCCGAGGAGGGTGAGATGTGGGACCTGTCCGACATGGAAAGGCATCGAAACAGATCGAAAGCTGTTCTTTTTGAAGGCCCCGAACCCCAACTCCAACGCACCCACCTCTGGTGCCCCACCGGCTCCCGGCACCGCCGGGTGACACCAGCCGAACGGAGCTTCGCTCCAACGCCCTCGGTGTCCGAGGAGAACTGGGATCGAGAGGATGGGCGAAGGTGTG